TAAAATAAATAAATGCTACCATTACATACATACACTCTGAAAAGAAATGTTCAATGGAGGTTGCTGGTGGCTCACACTCCAGGACCCACCCCCAGTTTTTCACAAACAGCATCTAGAAGTTTTAATCTTTTTCCCCAACAGTTTTTTGCACAGAGCTTCTTTTAGTCCTAAATGCTTCCCATACACATCCCATTTCTGCAAATTTGTAGACTTGAGATTTTTAGGGATTGTTGAGTTTTAGAAACAGCTCATGTGACTCTCATTCCTCTTGTGTGTCTCGTTAACATTTGTGAGTGGCTAATGACAGTTCTGGTCAGAGGAGATGATTTTTCAAAAAGCAAAACCACTCTGCGAGTACTGCAGCAGATGCAACTCGTCTTGTACAAATACTTGTACAAACGAAAAACACGTTAAAGTAGTACAAGAGGGAAGTTAAGTATTCTCAGAACAAGTTAAGTATTGTCAGAACACAAAAAATACCAGCTTAAAAGCACCATTATATCACCAGATGCGTTGCTGTCATCGTGAGAAAACTAAATGGAGCAGCACACATTCACGACTAGAGGCTCTGTCCCAGATCTATTTCAGCTGAGCAAAACACAGAAAAGAATATTGTAGAGGCAAACAAATAGCTCTGGATTAGATGACGAGGCAGCTCACTCCTGGTATTACACTCCCAACCACAGACAAAGGCCCATGTATCCAGTGAAAGCCAGTGCTGTGCAGCGAACCACCCTGGCACAGACCATGGATAAAGAAGCCCCAACATTTATCCCCGACGGGGTTACAGGTTAAACAGCCACCTCTGGATGTGAAATGCATCTGCTGAGCACACGTCCTGCCTGCCCCTGGGGTGGAAAAGGCTTATTCGTACCTCCAGTGCCCACTTGTAGCACAGGCTACAGCTATTTTTTTCGTGGCAAATACGAGTCTGTAATCCTACAAACAGTCCTGTGTCACCCATGCACTCCTGCAGTGGCAACATCTTAGAAATCACTGGTTGTTTTTTTATTCCTTAAATTGACTGCATGCTTACAAAGTGACAGTTGTACCTGCAGACGAAGATCTAATAAAAAAGTATACATACACGCTCCAGTACTTTAACAGGATTATTTAAAATAAAAGCATGTTCCTTGGGCTTCAAAAGCAGTGAGAAAGAAAACCCACCCACTTCCCCTCCAGTGGTGGACTTGAGGTGGTTATGAATCTGCCAAAAAGCACTAACTTGCCGCGTTTCAAGAAATCAGGTGCAGTTCTAATAGATAAGTTATTAGAGTTTGTAAAAAGTGTAAGCTCAAAGCATTTTTTAGGTTTATTTAAATAAAAATTATAATTTATACAAGACTTTTTAAACAAACAAGATTTTCTTAAAAAATGTACAGGGCAAATCATTTCATTATTTCAATTCTTCATACAGTATAAGTCTTTTGTGAAACAAAAGTTACACTCATAATGAATTATTTACAACTTCAAAATATAGACTCAAACTTCAGACATAAAAATTTTAACATCCATTATATTTCAACGATTAGTAGAAATTAAGCATCTGCCAAAATGTACAGAATTCAATAAAAACTACCAGTGTTTTTAATACAAGTTTAAGTAGCCAAAAAAAAGTACATCCTTTCATCTTTTCACGACTGGGTCAAATCGCTTTTCTCTTTGTCTGCAGGAACAAAGGTAGGGTTTTGTTGCTGGCATCCTGTATGATGTTGTTACTAGTAATAGCTTGTTTCATTCAATCTTGCCTCACAAAAGCAACAGTGCACAGAAAGGCATGATTTCATATTTAAGCTTTTTTTGCCTTTTGAATTTAAGTGGTCACCGATAAAGAATGAAAGCAGTCAGTTTTCATCTCCCCTTTTTTCTCCTCTTTAAAAGGGACTCAAACTAACCAATGCACTTCTAAAGAAGTTAAATCCAATTACACATGAATGATCCAGCAATGAACCATAGACATCAACAGAATTGCAAATATAAACAGCAAACAGACAGACAGAATGACAAGAATATCACTTTCTGCTATTAGAAAGTAGCACTTTACGTTAAGTGGTACGACCCAGCCTGTTATTGAAGTACGGCAGGCTATACTGCAAAACTATGTAGGAAGATTGGAATTTAAGGTGAACTTCAGTGTAATTATACAAGCCAAGTATATATTTCCGCACTGTTCATTCCCCTCCTGACCTCCAAACCTGTGAGGGTGTAACAGGAAGGAAAAGCACAGGAGTATCTGTGAGCAAACACACTGAGGTTACCTTCTAGTGCCTCTGATGTTACATACGCCACAGCAGCAGTTATGTAGAGGAACCTGGACAACCCAATGCAAAGTGAACTTTACAAAATACGTACATAGATGTTTGTCAGTTATATTACAACTATATTTAAAAAAAAATCCAGTTTGTTTTCTATATATTAGAATGAAACAATGGTGCATTGCAGTTTGCACTAGGTTTACTGCTTTAAGAATTGCTAATTTTTACGTTCACACTGTAAAAGTGTGGATTAATTTCAAACGTCAACACATTAGACTTTATAAGAAGTTTCTAATTACTTTGTCCAGAAAGAAAATTTTAAGAGCATATTGTAACACATGAGGCATTTCAGTCTGGGAAAAGGCTAATGATTTCCGAAGCCTAAGATACGGTTAATTGTCCTGGCAACATCAGCATAGGACCCATATAGCTCCTCCAGGAAACAGAATCTAGGACAACCCTATATACTAGGGTCAACCAGTAAAGGGTGGGAGGGGGAGGAGATAATAAGTGCAAGTCAACTGCTTTCCCACTGAAACTGCTGTTATGATCAGATTGAAGATATAAATTACACTTGAAAAATGATACAAAAATAAGAAAAAGAGCATGCTCTCTGTAAAAAATATAGTCTTCTGTTTCTTCAAAAAAAAAAAAAAGGATAACCTTAAACACACCCAAGGGATTTTTTCTTAAGACAAAATGAATGAATTTGACTAAAATTTATATAACATTAAGCGATTTTAATGCCTATTTGTTAGCCACACTTACTATTCAAGGAAGCTTCTAGAAAAGAAAGCCAAATGCTAATACACAGCAATTACAAAAAGAGATTCATTGAATTTAAAGTAGGTTTGATGAGAAAAATTTAAGATGAAGGATTTTTACTTAAATGTAAAACCTACCTGTGTAAAGTAAAGAAATCATAAACTGTCAAGCTACATCCAAATTAGATGGCAGCAAAATTAATTTCCCACCAGCTTAACTTATATGTCAAGTTTTTAGGCCCTGAGTTACACCATACCTAAGGACATGTTAGAAATGCACCCCTTTTTCAGGTCATGTAAAGACATGTTCAAGTGCTACTCTAAAGGGAGAACTCAAAAACAACATTTTGGCCATTACGGTGGATTCTCCCCCATTCTTGTTCACATTTCCACCCAGGGCACAGAGTTTTACCCCATCAGTGTTTCACTTTACAAAACATAACTAAATTATAATATTCAACAGTACTTCTTCACATCAAGTTCATATTAAGTTCTTCACATCATACCTCTTCATGCCCAGACTGAAATAAGGTTTGTACAGTTTGACTGCCACCTTCTTCATTACTGCTGCATTTGTTAAGAGACTTTCATTAAAAACTGTGCTAAGAGTTAAACACCCTTTGGTGTTCGTCTCCCCTCTCCTGCCTTCATTTTACCCCCTTCCTTATAAAGAAACAAAATTCCTGTTAAAAAAAAAAAAAAAAAAAAGAGAAAAAAAAAAAAGAAAAAAAAACCCCATGAAACCATGTCCCATTTTTACATAAGAATTTGCAACTCCATTGCTTTTTTTAGGGACATTCATATAACATCTGGAGACATCCATACAGCTCAACTCAAACAACATAGCAAAGTAAAAGACATACTGGAAGGCTTGGCATAACTCCTGTGCTTTCATGAAAATGAAAATTAAATTCTAAACCCCTCAGACGGGGGCTACTATATAGAGTACAAAAGCTTTCTAATATTAAAGACAAAGGTCAATATGTGCTTTGCTGCTAGAAAGGCCTGAGAGAGTTTAGAGGTGCCCAGCTTTCCTCTTTTACCTGGCAGTTGGGTTTAATTGTTACTAAATTTAATTTTGCAAGGGGAAAGACAGCAACATACCAATGCCCCTCAAACTATGCTTTGAAAAGGAACTAGCACTTTCAGCTGCTATATTATAGTGTTATTTTATTACAAGGTAACTCAAGAGAAAAGCCAAATTAAAAAGAGAGTCATGTCTCAGTTTAGTTTAATTATTTCCACCTCCCCCAACACAGAAAGCCTGCAAGTCTTTTATGCATTTACATACAAACACCTTGTACATACAACATGTACAAATAGTTGAGCCCTTCTATGACAAGTATCTACAGAAATACAAATACACGATGCCTAACATTTTAGGAACAACATTTTGGTGCCCTCTTTTATAAAAAGTATCTGCCTGCCTTCCTTCCTCTTAGTTTGGTTAATCAGGAAAGGAAGATATAGTTACAATCTTTCTCCTCCAATTCACTGTACAAGCAATTTCAGCATCTATGCAGGAAAAATTGAACCTAACCAAACTGGTAAAATATCCTTCTGCAATGCATGAATTATCAAGAAGGAGTTATTTTAAGTGCAGTTATAAATATGGAAATACTAAGATGATAATACTTCCTTGGTGTTGCTATCAGTTTTAATAAAGAACGCAATTAAAAACTCAGATCTGAAGAAAGAGACTTCAGGCTGCTGCAGTCACCATTCTCACATCTCTGGGAAAAATAACTAAGATAAAGGGACAAATGTATCCCCAGTGATATCAGTGGAATTAAAGGGATCAATCTGTTTAACTTTGTTGTCAGTTCTCCAAGTATCTTATCTTCCCAGCTTTTAATGTCAGTAAATAAACATTAAAAGTGCTTAATGTGCAAGGCTAATAGTGATGATAGCACTTTCACCATTTTATTTCATTTTGTTTTGTTTTTTTTTTCTTTTTTTTTTACAAAAACCTTAAAAACGAACATGAAGGCATATATAAAATACACTTGATTTATGTTAACAGATAGAATAGAAACCACCAGACAAGAAAAATTATTGCAAAATAGATGAGGATGTTCCTTTTTTTTTCACTACTAAGTTGTAAAATAAGAAAGCTTCCTTTAGATCTTCTGAGATACTTTACTAGCTCTCACTGCTTGATGATGCAGAGGTTATTTTCATATACTGGTTGAAAATTGTCTCAAAAGCTTCATCTCTGTGTACCATGGCACCAAACACCAAAGGCTAAATGACAGAAAAAAAGAACATGTCAGTCTGGAAAAGAAAAATCTTCCTCTACGTACAGTTTTGGCCAAATCAATAGGAACAGATGAATTGTACTCAAAGTGCTTTAATAAAGACATAAGTATCT